CCAGAATAGTTTGATTTGCATGGTTCTCAGTAACTTCTCCAGCAGCCACAGCTTGGTTGTTTTATAGTCAACGTCCACGGGAAGCTGCGCTGACCCTGCACTCAAGAGGAAACTGAATCTAAACGGTTCCTCACTAGCGACTGAGTCTCACTTCCATCACTTTGCCATTCTCAAATACGCGGCGTTGGTCGTGTTTGCTTAGAAGGATTTTTTTTGTCACAAAACAAAAAGTAAATGCTGAAAATAATCTGAGACATAATCCAGCTGAGTTTACCGACTCATTGTTATTCCACCAAGAGTACCTAATACATTACAATCGTAGCACAACACTGCATGTAAATGCAAAGCCTAACTTGAAATGCTCCTCTATGATTCAACGAGTGGTTCCCACTATCACCCACCGGCCTGCTCTGACCTGTGCCTCCTCCTCCCGAGCAGGGCTGCATGCTGGGATCTCCTAATGCCTTATGCAGCAGAAACAGCCATGTGGAGGCCCATTGTGCTGGTAATCGACTCATGTCTTAGAGATGGACTCGCATGGAAATAGGTGCATTCTTATGAAGACGTGCTGGGGTTCCCCGTGGCCTCAGCACACCGGTTTCTACAGCACAACCTATTCAGGTCTCGACTCCTCTCTGCATGTCAATGGTTTTCTCTCAGAGTCTGACAAAGACTACCCTTCCCTTCATCCATGGCTATGAAGGAATTGTCGAGCTCCATACAAAACAACCTACTGCTGACTTTGTGAAGAACAGGGTGTGAAGTCAGAAGATGAGATAATATGAAACTAATTTCTCATCTGGCGTTTAGAGAAAGTTCATCCAGTTCCACCACAGGGACCAGTGACAAGCATAAACACAACTGGATCGCTGTTCACCGAACACTTACAAAAGATCAACGAGAGGATGGAAAACTTGGATTCAAACACAGGAAAGCTCCCTGTTCCACTGCCACATGTGCTGGGTGATTTTGAGCTGCTGCTGAGATAAGAGAACGGAGAAAAGGAGGAAGAGACACAGAGTCCAGGTGTTACGCGAAGCCTAGAATCAGGGTGTTTCCCACTCTGTCAGAAAGTCACTTCTAGCAAGTTTAAAACAAACAAACAAAAAACTCTTGAATTAGGAAAATTTTGACATCAGAAAATCTGCAAAAAATGTGCAAGGATGTGAAAAATGAGCCTTTTAATTAAGAACGGGAGCACTATGTACTTAACGTGAGTCTGCAGAATTTCCTCCTGACCTAAACGACTGTCCACACGGCTCATCGTGCAGAGCAGACATCTGAACATTAGTCACAGGATGAAAGAAACCTAGCAAGTCTGATCAGACCCTCAGCCTGTCTGACCTGGTTATCTGCTTCTTTTATCAGCCCTGAAGGCATCTGAGGAGGGTTTTATTCTGACTCTGTTGCACTTCAAAGCAAAACTATCTTCATCATTACCCTGCTGCTACTGACAGAAACCTGTGGATGTAGCCTTGAATGCTCGGCTCAGCAGGATAAGAGTGAAAACTATCTGCCAGAAAACTGTTTCAACAATAATGAAGGAGTAATAGACCAGGTTTGACCTGTCTGACCTTTTCCCCAAACAGCAGTTAGAGAAACGGCTGAAAAAGAAACAAATTCACTGAATAGTTGAAATGAAAAATTATTTTTCCAACAAACGTAAATACTCAAAAGGAACAGCAGAAAAGCAAACGTGTAATGGCATTTTAATCATTTATATTTTGTGCACATTCTTAAAAATAAATAAATAAATAGACAAATAAATAAATAAATAGACAAATAAATAAATAAATAAATAAATAGACAAATAAATAAATAGATAAATAAACAGACAAATAAATGAATGAATAAATAAATAAATAAATAAATAAATAGACAACTATACTTAATTTGTACTTAATTGTATTTTTGTATTTCCTTCATATATCTGTACCTGAGCTGAGGTGACGCAAAAATTTCCCCGTTGTGGGATCAATAAAGTCTTATCTTATCTTATCTTACAAATAAATAAATAAATAAATAGACAAATAAATATATAGATAAATAGATAAATAGATAAATAGATAAATAAATAAATAAATAAATAGACAAATAAATAAATAAATAAATAAATAGACAAATAAATAAATAGACAAATAAATAAATAAATAAATAAATAAATAAATAAATAAATAAATAGACAGATAAATAAATAAATAAATAAATAAATAAATAAATAAATAGACAGATAAATAAATAAATAAATAAATAAATAAATAAATAAAGGCACATTTTATTTCTAGCCGGTAGATAAATGAAGGAAAAACTGAAGTTGGTCATTTTTTGGTTGAGAGGTAATAAAAATTCCTGTTGACAGTTTTAGAGCCTCGTGATCCTCTTATGAAACTGAATTTCAGTCAATGAATTTCAACACTTTCCATTTGTCATTCACAGAAAAACGACTTCCCCGTTTTAAACTGATCGCAGACGACCGAAAACTAAAACATCTTTAAAAAGAAGCTCATTCAAAACTCGATTATGACGGTCAGCAGAGAGCACGCCAAAACTCTCGTCTTCAAACACATTTTACAAACAAAAAGAGGTGCGTACACGCACACGCACACGCGCACACACACGCACACGCGCACACACACACACACTTTTGTTCTTATCACCAAAAATGCACATTTTGACTATTGTGAAACTAGAGGCTTTTTCGCACTGCAGTAAATGTTTCAGGGAATTCACCCGGCTCATTGTTATTTTAATAACAGCCATGCTCGGATTCGCCGGCACTGAAAAATGTTCCACTCTGTCAGAAAGCTAAATACTGGAATTGAACCTTTATCAACTTCAGTATAAATCCAAAAGAAGAGGTCAAACAAAAACACTCTGATACGTGGCAATAAAATCAGTTTACCAGGTGTAAAAATAAAATAAGTGACTTGTACAAAAAGGCTTGAGGTGCTGCACCCAGAGAGACTGCAGCCACTGATTCTGCGTCGTCTGTGTGCGCGTGCCAGCGAGCTCACCTAGAGCAGGAAATGACTTGTATTGTATTATGTGATGTGAGGATGAAATCACTAGAGCCAAAGTCCAACGGTCATTCACCCACTAAGGCTGGCACCGGAGTCAAACCAAAACAAAGACGCATATTAAGAATCCAAAATCACAACGCGAACGACGGCGAACCCCACGTCCAGAGTGCGTTTCACTGAAAGTATTTTGGGGACGTGGCTGTCAATCAACATTTGAAGTCTGATCATGTCAAGTCAGAATTTCACTGTTTACATGAACAGAAAAGAAATGTAAGAAATCAGCTTTCAGAGCAACAGGTCAGCTTTGAAAGATTCAATATTAGCAGGGGGAGGAAATTTTGGAGAACAGAATAGAATAGAATAGAATAGAATAGAATAGAATAGAATAGAATACTATTATTGTCACTATACAGTTGTACAATGAGATACAGAGCATCTCCAACCCAGTGCAAATAATATATAAAATGTCCAAATAAAAAAAGTAAATAAGTAAATAGTGTTATGTAGGAGCTCAGGTCTGTCTGCCGACCACCAGATACTGAACGCGACGCATGGAGTAGTGTGACTTTGTTTTGTTTTGAGAAAAAGGGCATCCAGAGGATAAATGGTTGAGTTTGTGTGAGTGTGTGCACACCGTGCAAGAGCACAGCAGGTGGGGGCAACTGCAGATTTGGTGCGTGGAAAGGTGCACAGTTATTTGAAAGCACCTCCACAGTTAACGTGGCAGAGCGCTGGTGCAGAAAGGGTTCAATTGGAAACGCTGTCACCCATTCATAAGGTGACGTGTGACTGAGAGCGAGAGCAGCATCGAGAATCAGAGGTGAGGATAGAAAGGGCTCGGCGAGGAAGGAAGCCGACGGTTGACAAGTTGTAATGAGTGAAACTTCCTTTAGAGAAGAAGCGAGTCAGACTGAAACCGGTCAGGAACCAATGATCTGCTGCCTTCAGTCTGCAGTTCAATGAACAGTGACTGCTAGCAGCCACATGTCTTTCACAATTCACGCTACAAATTACACACACACACAATTAGTTTGTATAAAAACTAAAAACACAGTGAAAAAACACTTTGACTGCAGACGTCCAGGCTCACAGCAGACACACAGTAAATGTACAAAACAACAATAACAGTGAGGAAGAGAGCTGATGCAACCTGACCTCCTCCTTTCAGCATGTGTGCGAGTGCACCTACGAGTGTGTGCGTGTAATATAAATGCCACTCCCACCAGCAGGTGTGTCGGTTTCCAGCTGCAGGCCCCCGTATCGCTACAAGGACACCCATCACGGCCCCCGCCAGCACCCACTCCCAACTCAAGGATCTTTCAGCTTCATCGTGGCCTTAATTTCAAGAAGCCCGTATTTACTGTGTGGTTCATTTTTACAGGATGTCCACTGCACAGATAAAACCTGTCTCTCCAACCTCCTCCAGAAACTCAGCATTTCCTCCACACAGGGTTGCAGGTCAATCAACCCCTGGCACCGTCAGCTCGCACATGAAAGGCCTCCTCGTACCAGCAGCAGCTCTCTATGATCACGCAGACACACGGGAAGCAAAACATGTGATAAACCAGGGACGAGGTTTCTGCCATAGTCAAGAGCTCATTGTGAAGCAGTCAGAACATGTTCATGCTCATAGTCATCATCCAGTGGAAAAATCCAAGCCCTTAATCAGCACACAGACTGTCAGAGCAGAGCGAGGAGCGAGGGGCGAGGAGCGAGGGGCGAGGAGCGAGTCCCTCAGAGCCACTGTACACAGCGTCTGTCAGGACCTCCGAGAGCAGGAGGCCCACTTGACACAGTGGGGTCTAAATGCCCCATCGCCACCCAAAAAGTCCCTCATTCATCACGCTCTGCATTCACTCTTTGGTGCGTAGTAGTACTTTTGGTGACCAAACAGGCACACACACACACACACACACACACACACA